TATATTAATTATACAATATTTATATTCTAATATTCAAGGTCTATTTGATATTAGTTATAATACTCAAAAATTTAATTAGATAAATAATAATATTATATTTGAAAATCAAGATCAGATTGAATTACTTACAATTCATATATATGATGATGCTATAAAAGAACGTAAAGAAGAAAGATCAATGAAAAATCTTAAAATAATTGGAGTACAAAAACAAAATTTACATTCAACAAAAGATTATTTGGATGTATTAAAAATAATTACTTCAATAGAATCATTACAACAATATCTTCAAGACAATGTTATACCAATAATTGCAGATTGGCCAGGACAATATTTTATTTGAAAAATTTTAACATATTATTATAAAAAAGTTAATACACCTGATTTTAATGCTTTAATAGTTTCTGAAAATATTAGTAACTTTATTCCAATTATTGGACCCATTCATATTTTATTAAATTTTCATAAACAAGCAATTCTTGTTTATTATTTATTTTTTAAAATTTTTTTTTATTATTTATTTGGTGAAAAAACATTTGCAAAAAAATCTAAACCTTGGAGAATTAATTTATTACTTGAATTAATTCATAATGGATGGAAAAAAATATCACAAAAAATTTTATTAAAATTTGGAAATAATTGTAATGATATTGAATATAGAATGATATTAGATCTTTTAGATAATTTAGTACTAGCAACTTTGGATATATATGCAATTCTTTTTAGATCTGGATTTTTTAATCAATATTTTGATACTTTATTTCGATTATGGACATTTGCATTACGATGGAAAAGAAAAAATTATAACAAAGCACCTTTAGCTTTTATATCAGATCATCTTTATTGACAACAAATTAATCATCCTTTAGCAAATATTATACCACAATTGTTAGTTAATTTTAATGATTATTTTGTTGAAAATTTTCATAGCAGATTACAAGCAAATATTAGTGTTAATTATACTGCAGAAAATATTATTAAGCAATCATATTTATTAGATATATATAATAATCAATTATTTGATACTTTTCATACTGAAAAAACATATCCATATAAACCAAATCAATTAGATTATTTAACTAAAAAAAGTAGTTTATTTTTATTAGAATATTTTCAAAATATTTTTT